TATGTTCCTCCCTTCATGATCCATGATGTGTGAGCAAATAGCTCTTGGGGAAGCTCAGTTTTAAGTGAAGGATGCAACTGATGCAAATCATCAACCATTTTTTAGTAATGATGTGTATGTAACCATCACCGAGGTCGAATCTTGAAAATGCTTTTCTGGAGTCAATACAGGCATTTCCAGCTTCATAGATTGCTACCTCTGGGTCTGAGAGATAGAAAGTAGTTTTCAGATGAATTCAAATCAGCTTTAACACTGTTCCAGAGATTGACACACATTCCTTGCCTTTTTTATTTTGTATTTTGCATTTGCTTAAGATTGTTGGGCTTTTTTTTTTTTTTTTTCATTAAGCAGTTTATATCTGCTTTGTTTGGTTAATCCTAAACAACCAAGATACGCAGGAACCACAAGAAAGCACTTTTTACTGCTCACATGTAGATGATTAGCATCACAGGGCTTTTTAAGCTGATAGGGATAACTGGCAACACTTGAGCTCAGTGCAATAACAAGGTGGCTACAAAATTATTACAGGAGTATACTATGCACTGCAGTCAGTTTTATGCAATATGATTTAATACTGCATCTTTATGTTCTCCCAACTACAAATGGTGCCATATACTTTCTGTAAGGGATTATGTAAGTTTTGAAATATTAACTTTCTATAATAGATCAGTGAATATTTTATGGTTGTAAATGATAAAACAGACTAGCATCTACAAATATTTTATGCATTCATGACATACCCAACTTTCCTTAATTTTTTCGATATTTGTAGGCTATGTAGTTTATCTGCGCATTTTTTCAATTGCTGCAAATCTCCAAAAAATATTCCAATATATCTTTTGAAAATAAATCCAAGTGGACTCACTCAAGTTCAAACCCATGTTGTGTTCTTCAAAGATCCACTGTACTTTTTTCCATTGTGACACTTTTATCACATTACTCCTTCATATCTGTTACTAACACACTGACGGTTCCAACACAGTAGGGCCAAGTGCTGTATCTATACTATTCTGTTTTTATCTACCGTATAAGCAATACATTTTTATTGTATAAATGAATATAAGAATTTCCCCAACTTACTAGTATGCAATGACAAAATTAAAAATATTTCATAAAACAATGAAGCACTGTATTAGTTAAAAAAAAAAGTGTTAGGGACTTAGGCTGCCTTCTCCCTCTGTGTCTAGTCTAGTAACATATATAACAATATACACACACATATATTTCCTAAAGCAGCCAAATATTTAGGAAATACCTTACTATTGTCAGTGTGATAAGAGTACCCTGGTTATGTTTTTCTTTAAAGTCCTTATATTTTAGAGGTGCATAGCGATGTCTTTAAGGTTGAAATAATAGAATTGCTTCAAAAGAATAGAAGGGATAGAGGAAATGATGATCACATGTTGATATTTTTGAACTGTGTGGGGGTACATAGAGAATCCATTATTCTATTCACTCTAATTCTGTATGTTTGGGGAAGAAAAAGCAAATAGCAGTTATATACACAAATTAACACACAGACTTCTGGCAATTCTGAGAAGCTAACACTTACCATGTACTATAGAATAAGGCAGGAAATGCCTACATTTCCAACAGAAAGAACATTTTGGTGACTCTCTGAATGAAAACTATCTAGTAAAATACTAATTTTAACAGATGTCATGCACTATAACCACTCATTTTTTTGCTTCCAATTTCCCTCCCAAATTTTGAGCCCTTTTTTCAGAGTTTAAAAAAAAAGTTCACAAGTAAAAATGTGGATAGAAGCCTTAACTGGTTTTCCTTTTCTAATCAACTTTTCGGTGTCAATGACAGTATCTAACATTCCAAAGATTTTAGGAAGGAACATTTAGTTCAATTCTCTTCATAAATTATTAAACATTCACTGAACAGAGGGTATGCTTGAGTTTCATAAATGTTGAAAGAAATATCACCTCAGATATTACCAGATCAGAGTTAAGTCAACAATTAAGTAATTTCATTTTCTGAGATCTAGAATGCAAAAGCCTCAATTTGAACTAATGCCTTCCTGGCAAACACTGAAATCTTCCCCTGTGGACCCAAACTGAAAGGTACTCACCCTAAGCAGTTAGTTACAATCATATGCTTTCCTCATCATTGTGGTTGTTTAGGATTAACCAAACAAAGCAGATATAAACTACTTAATGCAAAAAAAAAAAAAAAGCTCAACAATCTCAAGCAAATACAAAATAAAAAAGGCAAGGAGTGTGTGTCAATGAATCTCTGGAACAGTGTTAAAGCTGATTTGAATTCATCTGAAAACTACTTTCTATCTCTCAGATCCAGAGGTAGCAATCTATGAAGCTGGAAATGCCTGTATTGACTCCAGAAAAGCATTTTCAAGATTCGACCTCGGTGATGGTTACATACACATCATTACTAAAAAATGGTCGATGATTTGCATCAGATGCATCCTTCACTTAAAACTGAGCTTCCCCAAGAGCTATTTGCTCACACATCATGGATCATGAAGGGAGGAAAAAGTACAGTATTAACATCTACCAAAGTAATATCAATTACAATTTAATTGTGCACATCTGTACAGTGAAAAGTCCAGGACTAATCAGGATGAGTCAGGAAGCAGTTTACAAACTTCAGAATGCCTAAAGGAGCCATTTTTAAAAATGCAGATTTCTGGGCTATGCACCTCACTCCAGACCTACAGAATTAGACTCTCTCTGGAGTAAGATACATAAATTTGCATTTAAAACAATAGGTCAAATACTGCTACCTGGGACTACTTTCAACACTAAGGTAGTTTCCATTTTAATTGTTAAACATCTAAAAATGCCACAGCAACTGGAGTTTTAATATACTGTTGCTTCCTTTTGGGAGATATTTATTCATCCCTATTCTAAAGGAAAGAGAAGGAACTTGCTCAGCTGAAATGGCTTTTCCTATGTAGTGCAAGTGTGGCTAAGAACAATTTCTAGATAGAATAAGAATGCAAAACCATTTTGAAGTATTAGGCTACAGTGATGGTGAATGCTTTACAACAAACACATGAGCCTGTTCATCCCTCCAGGATTAGTGCTAACAGCCAACAGAAAAAGAATATGCAAATGACCCAGAAATGGTATCGTGAGCTTCCCCAGCTTTATTATACCCTACAATTCCACTTACTTAGAAGAAGCCATGTGCTTTGTTCCCAGTCAACACCACTAACCTTTTCCTTATAGATATGAATCTGAAATGCTAGTAACTGACTTAAGATGTTTGCATCTAGAATGAAGTGCAATGGGTCATTAAAGGTATGAAATATTTTGGTGACAAATACTAAAAGTTAAAATCAGTAAAAAGCACTAAAACTGAAAGGAAAGCAGATCATGGCTGAGATGACATAAAACCTAAATTGCTATTCTGAGAGCCTCATCATTACAAAGTCATAAACATACAATGTAATATGGCAATAAATTACTACTGCAAAGAAAAGTTTTTTCACAACACATCTTCAAAACCAAAAGGTAAAAAAAAAAAAAAAACCAAAAGGTAGAGACATAAGGCTGCTCCAGTTGATGAGCAGTGCAATCAAAAGCATGTTTCTCTTGAACCCCAAATACACAAATGTCCTTTTTGCACATCAGCTGAATGGCTGTAATGTTCCTTTTTTTAACCTTTGCGAAGCTTAGATCTAAAGGTTACTGAGTGAGGTGGCAAAAATTTTTGAAAAAGTTACTTCATTTCGACAAAGACCCCTAGAAAAGAAAGAGGATCAAGATAAGTTACTCTTAAGTCTCCTAAAGTGATGGAGGCAAAAACCCAAATGCCAAAAAAAAAAACCTCTTTAAAAGATTCACATTTCTAAATCAATGACAAATGTGTGAATGAATCTGACAGATAGCCTACAAGGAATTCTACTCTAAGAACACTTCATACTGCTTTGGAATCAGGTAGCACCCAATACACCTCTAGTCAAACACATTTTTTAAGGTATTAAAAGGATTCACCTAGCAGTAACTTGTTTTCATGCGCTGCAAGAGAGAAATTTTACTCTAACCAAACACTGTTTAAATGAAGCAAGCAACTAATTTTCTAAAAAAGCATTTCTGCTGAACTATTTCTTCTTATTTTCGTTAGCAACTGTTTTAACTTTTACTATGTTTGATTGTAACCAGAAAGTAAAACTAAATTCTCCATCTACTCTTCGGGTAAGATTTAAAACAAACGTTATACTGTATGTTCAAAACTAGATCAAACTACTTGAAATACAGTATTTGCAGAGAACCAGTTTCATAGAATTATAGAAAGTGAACAGAACGATTTGGTTTAGTTTCGCCACTTACTTGCCAAGAGACTTTGCGCGAGCCTCTCAAGTCTCACCTGTGAAACTGGGGTTGTAACAGTTACCTTTACTCATAGTGTTAAGAGAAGCAAATAAGTTATACGTGTGTGGGGAAACCTGACAACCATCTGTATGTGGGACTTATTAGAGCACAATGTTAACAAACAGTATGTGTAAATCACGGTAAACCCTAACAAGTTATCACTACTTTTAAATTTGTTCTCCCATATTAAGCGTCAAAACTGAAGCACCACTGAAATTAAGACACCGCCACGATTTTTACCACTAATTCTGGCCAGAAATTTTAGCCTAAATATGACACTCAACCCAAATAACGGGATAATTTGCCCTTCTCCCTATTTCATGAGGTGAAAACTCGAAGCCGCTAGGAGTAATAAAATGCTGCTATCCTTCCTTTCCCGCGTTTCTCCGCCTCATCAAGTTGCTTTCCAATTCTACCAAGGGCTCTCTCGGACTTCCTCGATACCAGAACAAAAACAAATCACCCCTTCTCCCGGGTCAGGGCTGAATCTCCCCCTCCTGGGCCGTGCTCCCGGCTCCCTCGGCCACCGGGTCAGACGCCCGACCCCGGCGCGGCCCGGGCCCCAAACCGCACCGCGACCCGGCGGGCCCCAGCCCGCGCCTGCTCCCCTCCCCCATGGCGCCCGGGCGCAGGCCCTAGGCCCGCGGGACTTACGCTCTCGTGGTCCCACCGCACGTTGCTGCGCTTTTCGTCCGGGGCGAGGTTTCGGTCCCGGCCCATCAACTCATCCAACAACTGCGCGGCCGAAATCATGGTGCTTTCTTCGGGCGGCTGCTCCCACCAGCCCTGGCACCCACCAACGAAAATGCCGGCGACACAGTCGCCAACCCCCCCGGCCCGCTCCAAGGCCGAAAAGCCTCCTCTACTGAGAAGCCGATAAGACAAAATGGCCGCCGCGCGGGCGCCCTCCCAGCATGCCGTGCGCCCGCGGAGACACGCCCAGGCCCGGGCGGCGAGGGCGGCGAGGGCGGTCCGGCTTCCGCCGTCTGGGGGCGGGGCCTGCCGAGGCCCGGCCCGGACTCCGCCCCCACGAGGAGGCGGTGCCGCTCTGCGTGTGCGGCCGGGAGCCGCCCCAAGCGCAGGTCTTCCCGGGCTTTTTCACTGAGAAATAGGATCCCAAGGCTTGAAGCGTGGACGCTGCTCCAAAATGGATAAAACAGGCACTCTCCCCGAGTCCCCGCGGTGTGCACGGAGCCATCTTGCAGTGGGGAAAACTGAAGATTCCGTGTTCCGACTCCATTTTCCCAGTGCACTCGCCGCCTCTTCTACCTGCTTTGTCCTCCCACCCGGATTCTCCTGATGCACAGGGTGGGAAATCAAGGCAGGAAATGACAAGGCGGTTTCTAAAAGGAGTATGAGGATTCAGTCCTACACATGATGCCTGTCAGTGTGGAATCTTAAAACATTATTGATTCATTTGTTCAGCAAATATCTTAGTACTTACCATGTGCCAGGCACTGTGCTTGAAGCTAAGCTCAGAATCTTTCAGACACAGTCCTCGCTCCCGCAGACCTGTGCATTGGTGAGAGAGACAATCACCAAAGAAATAAAGCCACAACTAAGGCTGGGTGCACACTTTAGAAAGCCAAGGTGGGAGGATTGCCTGAAGCCAGGAGTTGGAGACCAGCCTGGGCAACAATAAAGTGAGACTCTCCCTCTTTACAAAGAAATACTTAAAAAAAAGTAGACAGTAGTTGGGTAAGCCTGTAGTCCCAGCTACTCAGGAGGCTGAGGCAGGAGGATTGCTTGAGTCCAGAAGTTGGAGGCTGTAGTGAGCTATGATGATGCCACTGTACTCTAACCAGGGCAACAGAGCTAGCTCCTGTCTAAAATAATAATAATAGGCTGGGCGTGATGGCTTACGCCTGTAATCCGAGCACTCTCAAACACTGAGGCAGGAGGATGGATTAAGGTCAGGAGTTCCAGGCCAGCCTGGGCAAGAGCAACTATCTCTACTAAAAATAGAAAAAATTAACCGGGCATGGTGGCCTGCACCTGTGGTCCCAGCTACTTGGGAGGCTGAGGCAGGAGGATCACTTGAGCCCAGGAGTTTGAGGTTGCTGTGAACTAGGCTGATGCTACAGCACTCTAGCCTGGGCAACACAGAAGAAAAAGTATATTGAAGGGAATCAAAATTTTAAAAATAATAATAAAGTCGCAAAAATATCAGTATGAATTGGGATGGTACTCTAGCACACTTAAGGGTATAGACTCTAAAGCCAGATTGTCTGGGTTGGTAATCCCAGTTCTGCCACTCTGTGCCTTTGTTTCCTCCTCTGTAGAATGAGGTTTATAATAGCCACCCCATACACACATGGCATTGTTGTAAAGATTAAATGAAGATTGAATGAATTGATACAATGTAAAGCACTACATATTGATACAACTAGGCCCAATAGAGTGTTTTGTTTTGTTTTGTTCTTTTAGAGGAAGGGTCTCCCTCTGTCACCCCAGCTCAAGCACAGTAGCGTGATCATAGCTCACTGTAGCCTCGAGTTCCTGGGCTCAAATGATCCTTCTACCTCAGCCTTTGAGATGCTGCCAACACATTTTAAGTTCATTTAATCATTAGCTATTATGATAACGAAAGGAAAAGAACAGGGTGCTGTCAGAGAGTAACAGAGGCATTTCTGTGGAAATGACTTAAGACCTAAGAGATGATAAGGATCCAGCCAAGCAAAGTGAACAAAAAAGAATTCACAAAAGTCATCTCATAGGAAACAATGTTCATTATTATTTTAAATATACCTAAACTGGTGATCCTGGGTATGCAGGATGCTCATTAAATGGCCTGAGATTGAGAAACACTTGAGAGATGCTGCTTTTTTTTTTTTTTTTTTTGAGACAGAGTCTTACTCTGTTGTCTGGACTAGAGTGCTGTGGTATCAGCCTAGCTTACAGCAACCTCAAACTCCTGGGCTTAAGCAATCTTTCTGCCTCAGCCTCCTGAGTAGCTGGGACTATAGGCATGTGCCACCATGCCCGGCTAATTTTTTCTATATATTTTTAGTTGGCCAATTAATTTCTTTCTATTTTTAGTAGAGACAGAATCTCGCTCTTGCTCAGGCTGGTCTGGAACTCCTAACCTTGAGCGATCCTCCTGCCTCGGTCTCCCAGAGTGCTAGGATTATAGGCATGAGCCACCACGCCCAGTGAGAGATGCTATTTTAGACTTGGGTAGAGAAGGGACCAGCAAAGGATACTGTGAAGGAGAAGCCACAGAGATTAAAGGAAAATCTCAAGAGGTTACAGTCAAGGAAAGCAAAAAAAGAGAAAATGTTTCAAGAAGATGAAAGTAATCAATATTGTAGAAAACTGCTGCAAGCCTGGCAGGAGAGGACTGGAAAGTATTCACGGGGTCCCGCAGTTGGAAGTCAGACTAGAGTGGGTTGAAGAGTGAAAGGGGCATAAGGAAGTAAGATGGTGGTTGGGCAGCTCTTTTTTAAGAAGAAAAGCAGTTGGGTTGAGCATGGTGGCTCACGCCTGTAATCCTAGCACTCTGGGAGGCTGAGGCGGGAGGATCGCTCAAGATCGGGAGTTTGAGACCAGCCTGAGCAAGAGCGAGACCCCATCTCTACTACAAAAAAAGAAAAAAAAAAATAGAAAGAAATTAGCTGGACAACCAAAAACACATAGAAAAAATTAGCCAGACATGGTGGCCTGTACCTGTGGTCCCAGCTACTTGGGAGGCTGAGCAGGAGGAACGCTTGAACGCAGGAGTTTGAGGTTGCTGTGAGGTAGGCTGATGCCACAGCACTCTAGCTGGGGCAACAGAGTGAGGCTCCATCTCAAAAATTAAAAATAAAAAAAAGAAGGAAAGCAGCAAAATAGAGTGAGAAGTATGGGATATGGGGGGCTTTTTAAAGATAGAAAATTAGAGTATGTTTAACATTGGGAAGAATCCAATGAAGAGGTGGAAGGTAAAAGAAAAAGATGGCTAAAACTTTAAGTTCTTGAGAAGGGGAGGGCCTAGTCTCCAGGAGACTATGAGAAAGGACCTTTTTCCACTGAAACAAGAAAGGAGAAAAATATACAAATCAGTTTGTAGATTTAGCAGTAAGAGGAGGGAGTTCTCACTGTTGGCTACTGTTTTCTCAATAAAGCACTTTTTAAAGATTCTGTCTGAGCGTGGTGGCTCACACCTGTAATCCTAGCACTCTGGGAAGCCGAGGCAGGAGGATTGCTCAAGGTCAGGAGTTTGAAACCAGCCTGAGCAAGAGTGAGACCTCGTCTCTACTAAAAATAGAAAGAAATTAATTGGCCAACTAAAATATATAGAAAAAATTAGCCGAGCGTGGTGGCACATGTCTGTAGTCCCAGCTACTCAGGAGGCTGCGGCAGGAGGATCGCTTGAGCCCAGGAGTTTGAGGTTGCTATGAGTTAGGCTGATGCCATGGCACTCTAGCCTGGGCAACAGAGTGAGACTCTTGTCTAAAAAAAAAAAAAAAAAAAAAAAAAATTTAGAAATTAAAATAAAAAAATTAAAGATTTCCCACTGCCTCTACTACCAAAAAGGAAAAAAAGCCAAGCATGGTGGCTCATGCCAGAATCCTAGCATTTTAGGAGGCCAAGGTGGGAGGATCACTTCAGGCCAGGAGTTTCAAGGCCAGTCTGAGTGACATAGGCAGAACTTATCTCTACACAAAAAAAATTTTTTTAATTAGCTGGACGTGGTGGCATACCCCTGTAGTTGCAGCTATTAGGGAGGCTGAGGCATGAAGATGGCTTGAACCCAGGTTAAGATGGCTTAACCCTTTGAGGTTATAGTAAGCTACGATGACACTACTGCACTCTAGCCTGGGAAACACAGCAAGACGCTATCTTAAAAAAAAAAAATGTATAAATCATGAACCACAAACAAACAGGACATATACAAACTGATTGCAAAGTTCTTCTGCCTACTAAAATTTTAAATCTTATTATCTTGTTCATTCCACAAACTATAATGGAGCACATGCTCTATGCCAACACCTGTGTTACTGTCTGGGAATGCAAAGATAGATGTATAAAACCTGGTTCTTAGCTTCTAAACTACGGGAGACAAAAATGTAACAATAACTATAATTCGGTCTTAAATGAAAATACTGAATGCTTTTGGATCACAGAGGTGAGAGCTCCTGATCCAATCACATATCAGATAAATTTTTCACTACGACTCTCCTCTTCTTAGAGTGTAGGGGCAGCCACACATTTCAGTGTGTATTACCACTGCAGATAACAAACTCCCTCATTCATCCTTCCTTAATTCAAATAGCTCCAATGTCATCTTTATCAAACTCTCTCTGGGCCACAGAATCCAGAGGTAAAAGTAGTCATTATTAACAGAATCGCAATGCCTAGTTTGCAGATAATTTTGATGGATTATATGAGTTGGTTGTTTCCTAATGGTGGGATGCGAAACACCTTGATCTTTTTTATTTGTTTATTTTTTGAGACAGAGTCTCACTCTGTTGCCCAGGCTAGAGTGCCGTGGCATCAGCCTAGCTCACAGCAACCTCAAACTCCTGGGCTCAAGCGATCCTCCTGCCTCAGCCTCCCAAGTAGCTGGGACTACAGGCATGTGTCACCATGCCCGGCTAATTTTTTTCTATATATTTTTAGTTGGCCAATTAATTTCTTTCTATTTTTAGTAGAGACAAGGTCTCACTCTTGCTCAGGCTGGTTTCAAACTCCTGACCTTGTGCGATCTGCCTGCCTCGGCCTCCCAGAGTGCTAGGATTACAGGTGTGAGCCACCAGGCCCGGCCCACACCTTGATCTTATCAGCCCAGTGGTCTTCATACCCCATTCCATCCATATCTGTTATGAATACAAAATGGTATCGGCTGATTTGCGTTCCCCTCACCCCCAAATTCATATGTTGAAGGCCTAACCCCCAGAACCTCAGAATGTGACTATGTTTCGAGATAGTGCCTTTGAAGAGGTGATAAGTTCAAATGAGGTCATTAGCGTAGGCTGAAATCAGATTTGGACACACGAGACACCAGGGGTGTGATTGCACAGAGGAAAGGCCATGTGAGGACACAGTGATAAGGTGGCCATCCACAAGTCAAGGACAAAAGCCTCAGGAGAAACCAAACCTGCCGACACCCAGATCTTGGACTTCTAGCCTTTAGAACTGTGAGAAAATGAAACTGAGGCCAGGTGCGGTGGCTCACGCCTATAATCCTAGCACTCTGGGAGGCCCAGGTGGAAGGATCGTTTGAGGTCAGGAGTTAGAAACCAGCCTGAGCAAGAGCGAGACCCCCCCGCCTCTACTATAAATAGAAAGGAATTAATTGACGAACTAAAAATACATATACAATAAATTAGCTGGGCACGGTGGCACATGCCTGTAGTCCCAGCTACTCGGGAGGCTGAAGCAGAAGGATCGCTTGAGCCCACAAGATTGAGGTTGCTGTGAGCTAGGCTGATGCCACAGCACTCACTCTAGCCTGAGCAACAAAGCGAGACTCTGTCTCAAAAAAGAAAAGAAAAAAAAGAAAGAAAATGAAACTGTCTTATTTAAGCTACCTGGTCAGTGGTATTTTGTTATAGCAACCCTAGCAAACTAATATAGAAAGGAAGCCACAATCACTACAAGTCTTCTAACTGCTTGCTGGCCCAGCCTCCAGTGTGACCTCAATGACTTCATCCTCCATCTATCTTGCTGCCTCAGTCATCTTTCTTCTTCTTCTTTTTTGACAGGGTCTCGCTATGTTGCCCAGGCTGGTCTCAAACTCCTGGCCTCAAGCCACCTTGCAGCTCAGCCTCCAGAGTCAGTAGGATTGTGACTCACTGCACCTGGCTAGTTATCTTTCTATATGTAAATATGGTTGCATCTCTTCCCTGCTTAAGACCCTTCAAAGGCTCCCCATCATCTACACTCTAAGTCTCTTCTCTTTTTCCTATGCCCTATGTTGAATAGGTCCACTCTAAAGTTCTAGCACCACAAGGTGACCTATAATCAGACCTGCTTCTCCAACTTCATCTGCTACTGCTCCCCACACTCTAACGACCTTGCTTCCTACACTACACATCTACGTTACTCCAGGCATGGAAAGCTCTTCCCATAGCCCAGCACCCAGTGCCTGCTACCCATCTTTCAGCACACAGCCCAAGTTTCAGCAGCTCCATGAAGCCAACCTGGTCTCGTCCTCTGCCTGCCACACACAACTGATCGCCCTCTTCTTTGTGCCACCATCTTGTCTTAAGCATCCTTGTGTATTTGGGGATTTGCCATGCAATATTGTAAACATCAATCTTTTCCTTTAGAATAAAAGTTTTGTTTTTTTTTTCTTTTTGAGACAGAGTCTCAGTCTGTTGCCTGGGTTAGGGTGCCGTGGCCTCAGGCTAGCTCACAGCAACCTCAAACTCCTGGGCTCAAGCGATCCTCCTGCCTCAGCCTCCCGAGTAGCTGGGACTACAGGCACGTGCCACCATGCCTGGCTAATTTTTTCTATATATTTTTAGTTGGCCAATTAATTTCTTTCTATTTTTAGTAGAGACAGGGTCTTGCTCTTGCTCAGAGCTGGTTTCGAACTCCTGGCCTTGAGTGATCCGCCTGCCTCGGCCTCCCAGAGTGCTAGGATTACAGGCGTGAGCCACCATGCCCAGCTAGGATAAAAGTTTTTTTGAGATCGGGTGCCATGTTTTATTCGTCATTGTATTCCTGGATTCTAGCACTGTATATAACATGTAGGAGGTAGCTCCTGTTCACTCTGAACCCCATTAGTCTATGCTATGGTGTGAATGTTTGTGTCTCCTCAAAATTCATATGTTGAAACCCTAACCCCCAAGGTATTAGGAGGTGGGACTTTGGAGGGTGTGATTAGGTCTTGAGGACAGAGCCCTCAGCAATGGGATTAGTGTCATTCCTAAAAGAGACCCCAGAGAGCTCCTTTGCTCCTCCCACCATGGCATCTTTGGACACAGTGAGACGTCAGGTGTCTGCAATTCCAAAGAGGGCCCTCATCACAACCCAACCATGCTGGCTCCCGATCTTGGACTTTCAGCCTCCAGAAGTGTGAGAGATAAATTTCTGTTGTTTCTAACCCACCTGGTTTATGAAATTTTGTTATAGCAGCTCTAGTGGATTAAGACAGTCTGGTTTCCATCTCCATCACTCAGTTCTTTCTCTCTTGTCCTTTCTGCAGCACTTGACCTGTGGACCACTTCCTGTCTCCAAACCCTTCCACTACTTTGCTTTTCCTCCTACTATTCCAGCTACTTTTCTTCATTCTGACTTGAGGATTTCTCCTCTTCTGTCCATCATGAAAATGTTGAGTACAGATGCTCCTCAACTTATGAAGGAATTACATCCCTATAAACCCATTGTAAGTGGAAAATATCGTAACTCAAAAATGCATTTACTACACCTAACCTACTAAATATAACAGCTTAGCCTAGCCTACCTTAAATGTGCTCAGAACACTTACATTAGCCTACACTTGGAGAAAATAATCTAACACAAAGCCTATTCTATTATAAAGTGCTGAAGCTGAATATTCATGTAATTTATTGACTGCTATACTGAAAGTGAAAAACAGAATGGTTGTATGGGTACTTGAAGTATAGTTTTTATGAAAGTGTTTTGTTTTTGCACCCTAGTCAAAAAATTCTAAATCAGATCATTGGAAGTTGGGAACCATCTGTTTTCTTCAGTGTTCTGCCTTTGGTTGTCTGCTCTTAGTAGGCACAGACTCTCTTGGGACTATCTCTTCTATTCCCATGACTTCAGCTAGCCCCTTTTGCTGATGACTGCCAAATACAAATCACCAGCCCAGACCTCCTTCCTAAACACAATACTCATGCACACAACTGCTTACTAGACATCTCTACTTAAGTGAAAATCAGAAAAGAAAACATAGGCTCTGGAGTTGAACTTGAGTTCAAAGCTTTGCCCTATCACTAAGCTGCAGGGCATTGGACAAGTTAATTACCCCTCTGAGCCTTAAGCAGTAATGATGGTCCTAACTCCCAGGGTTATTGTCAGGATTAAATGAGATAATTAATTCTTGTATAGCACTTACCATAGTGCCTGGCAATGAGTTGATAGTAGTAGACAATAGAGAGTAGTAGTCATTAAATGTCCTCAGAAAGCTCATTTAACAGTTCAAAAGTGAATTTATGACTGCACTTCAAGCCTTCTATTCATCCCTGGTCCCAAATCTCAGTAAATGGAACCCCTAGCTAATCACTCAGATCTCTATGTGTTATCCTTGTTTCCTGACCACCACTGTCCTACCATTCTATCAGGGCTCTTTCCTGACATAACCAGGCTTTCTGTATACAAATTCATCTATTCAACCCACAAAACAATCCTGCAAAGCAGGTGCTATTAATGTCCTTATTTCACAGATGCAGAATTTGAAGCACTGAAAGTCTTAGTAACTCATCCAAGTTTATATGATTGGCAAAGCTGGCATACAAACCCCGGTAATGGCTTCTATCTCCATGCCTACAAGTGTTATGCCATTCCCCATGTCACTTCTGTTGTAATGCATAGCACATTCTATTGTTTGCCTTGTCTGCCCTGCTAGACTGTGTGTTCTTGGAAGTCAGGGACTCATTTGTTGGCAGTAGCATCCTCAGTGCCTAGAATAGAGCCTGACAAACAATGCATGCTTAATATACCCAGTGAGTTAGGTAATTCCCTGGAGATAAGACAAAGTATAAATAAATGGAAGTAGTACTAGAATAGTCACCAGGTTATATTCAGTTATATCCAAGATCAGAAGTTTTGTTGGTGGAGGAAATTTTTGTTTTTTATCTGAGGATAACAAACAGAAGACTGCAGTCAGACCAAAACAGAAGTTGAGTTTAAGAAGATATTAATAAGGCCAGGCATGGTGGCTCATGCCTATAATCCTAGCACTCTGGGAGGCCAAGGCGGGCAGATTGCTCAAGGTCAGGAGTTCGAAACCAGCCTGAGCAAGAGCGAGACCCCGTCTCTACTGTAAATAGAAAGAAATTAATTGGCCAACTAATATATATAGAAAAAAATTAGCCGGGCATGGTGGCGCATGCCTGTAGTCCCAGCTACTCGGGAGGCTGAGGCAGTAGGATTGCTTGAGCCCAGGAGTTTGAGGTTGCTGTGAGCTAGGCTGATGCCACAGCACTCACTCTAGTCTGGGCAACAAAGCGAGACTCTTTCTCAAAAAAAAAAAAAAAAGAAGAAGATATTAATATTCACTGATTCAACAGTTATTGTAGGGTACATACTTTAATTTTCTTAAGGAAGGGACATTTTACAAATAACTTATATAATGAGAACTCATAGACTTTGGAGTGCAGTCATTAATATTATTTTAAACTCCTTTTTTTTTTTGAAGAGGCCACTACCTATTCCCATGTCACTTGAATGTGTTAAAGGACCCAACTCCAAGGGCCATGTATGTCAGCTTCAGATGGAGTATCATGCTGGATCTGAGAATTAAAATTTAAATTGGGCAAGCAAATAAAACTGTAAACTGAAACAGAGTATCAATTTGCCATGGGGGTCAATTTAAGTGTGTAGTCAGTTTATATTCAGCACCACCTGGTGTGCACTGTGTACTGTGAATTACTGTATCATAATAAACAAACAGACATTGGTTTTTCTTGGTAAGGAGAAAAACGCTTGCTGTGGGGATCTTGGCAGCCCCAAGAGACGGAAATGAAAAACTCCATGCCTAAATTTATCCCTTCCTATTTCATCTCCTCTCTTTGTTCAGGCCTTCCTCCCTCCTCCCCAGGGCTATTTCCTTAATCCTTCTGACCCCATCTGCAAAGTTCTATTCTGTGCCACATAGGAGGACCTCTTCCAGGAACCTGGGCTCAGCAAAACAATATTTTCTCTTTTTTCCCAGTAGGTATAAAAACAATGCCACTCAGGCTCTGAGCCTCATTGGACAGATTAGGGAAAAAGTCAGGCAAAATGATGTTTATGTGCACCCCAGAGACTTTACCCCGGTACCTGGGATCAGCACCAGGATACCTCCAGAACACTTTTGGTGTTCTTCCTTTCTTTCTTATTTCCTAATATGGCCTACATGAAGAGTAATTACTTATGATTTATAGGCAGTAATTACAATTTATAAACTGTAAGCACAGTATAAATATTTTTCCTGAAAGCCAAGTTAGAAGAAATCTCTGTCTAAAATGAGATGTAAAACAACAACAATTGAAATAAACATTCTAACTGAATTGTCCCAAGCACTGTCAAAAAGAAGAAAGAACAGTGTAATCTATCTCTACAATAATGGGCGTATTATAGTAGGTTCGTTTTCAGCCCATTCCCCCATCCTGCTGGGCAAAAATTGGCTCAGATAAGGAAAATGAGCCAACCGAACTGGGGGGGGGGAGCGAAAACAAAAACACAAAACCCAACAGAAAAGAACCTACCAATTATTTTTGATGCCTGGTAAACAGTCTGCACCAGAGGATAAGGTTTTTCTGGCTCACAAATATGCTTTTTTCTCTTTTCATGTGTCTGTCCTCCTCCCTTGAAAGTGTGGGGTGGGGAGGTCTAAAAATAGTCAATGAATCATGGCAGACAATAATGTGCAGTAGTTATATAAACAGCCGGCCCGGCGCCGGGGCCGTGGGTCGGAACGGAAAATATCTGGGTCAGGGTTGTCACACTGAATAGGGTCCCCCGGAGCCGGCCTTCGGGAAGTGCGGCCGGGGAGGTGGCCTGGGCCTGTGGGCGGGGAGCAGCAGGGGAGCCGCGGGCGGCCCGCGGGAGGGAGCAGAAGTCCCGGGACGGGCGCGGGCGGCGGCGCGAGCAGGGCGGGCGACCTCCGAGCTCCCTCCCCATGGCCGGGAGCGGGCCGCGGCGACGGCGGAGGCGCTGACAGCCCCCGGGCAGGGCGGGGCAGGCAGGCCCGGGCGGGGGCCTGGGGCCGAGGGGAAGATGAGCGCCCTCCTAGAGCAGAAGGAGCAGCAGGAGAGGCTGCGGGAGGCCGCGGCCTTGGGGGACATTCGGGAGGTGCAGAAACTGGTGGAGAGCGGGGTGGATGTGAACTCCCAAAATGAGGTCAACGGCTGGTAAGTGGGGAGCGGGGGAGGCCTAGGGTCAGGGCACCCGGCCGCGACCTGGGCCCTGCCCTGCTCCTGGACGCAGGGCTAAGGCGAGGCCTGCCGCCTCGCGCCTCAGAGGTTGTGCTCTCCTGAGGCCAGCCCAGGCCCCCCTGCCTCTTGCAGTCAGGAGCGCGTCCTGCCCCAATTCCGGCCCACGTGGTCCACCCGGGCAGGGCCCACTCGGAGCGTGGCGCCCCCGCGGTTCCCCGCGTCCTCTGGCTAACTTGGCCAGAACGGTGCCAGAGGCTGTGTGTGATTCTCAGCGACTATGCGCTGGAGCACACGACCCCGTTCAAGTGTTGAATTATTTTGTCTAAGGTCCTTCTGAAGAACACATCGTGCAGATAAAAGCATAAGCAACTGAGCAAATATGAATCTTATTAACTGGCACGATTTCTTTAGCCAAGACTAAGAAAACAAAACAAAACATTTACATCGCTATTATGCAGCTTTGTTGTCTCACTGCAACAGTGATTTGCTGCTGCTGCTGCCTACAATTGTCTGTTGAGGGGAGACTCATTTGTTTATCCTATATAGTATTTTGCTTTGTTTTCATACTATAATTTCAGATATCAAATTTCTTCCAAGGCTTTGGATGTCTGCCTGCAGACTGAGTCCTTCTCAATGAAATGAGCAGTCTCATTTTAAGATGTTGTTAGTGGTCAAATATTTAGTTTTAAGTTATTGAATGTGCTATTCTACTCTCTTTGCATTTAAAATTTTTAATTTTATTTGATCCAGTTAGTGTTTAGCCAGCCTATTTTGCTAGTTTACAGTGAAAGTGAGTTTGCAAATGTTTTATTTTATTTTTTTTTAAGGTGGAATGGAATCCTTCCTTTTGGAACTGTGACAGTGGAGATTAAGTTCAACCCCAGAAAAGGACTTGCCCTAGGCCACACGATTATTAATATGATAGGACCAGAACCAAGATTTCCCGGCTGCCTCAAAAATCTGTTTACCTCCTTTCCCCAAAGAAAACAGCCTGGATAGCTGTCCAGAAAGCCAAGAAACAATGGATACTACCTTTTTGTTTTGCTTAAAAGTTTGCGAACTTACTGTTGTGTCTGTCTGTACCTTTCCCGAGCATTGCTCTGTGGTTCAAAGTTGTGAATTACCGTTTTGACACTGGGAGGCAGTGTTGTGTAGAAGAATGAGCCTGGTCTTTCCTGCAGGTTCTTCTCCGTAACTGCCTAACTATGCAACCTCAGTTGCTTCAGTTTTTACTTATTCCAGAAGAGTGTTGTGAGCATTTAATAAGATGAAGCATAATATAAATAGCTAATATTCATTCAACTTGCTCTGTAGCACAGATGCGATGCTAAGCACTTTACATGTGTTATTAATAGCTCATTCACAACTTTTTGGGGACATAGCTATTGTTATTCTCTCTACAGATGAAGAAACTGAGACCCAGAAAAGCTAAATAATTTCCCCAGTTTGCATAGCGCTCCTTCCCTAGGTCATAGAATTGACAGTAACTAGTAGAGCTAGAAAGCAAACCTGGGTATGGTGGCACGCACCTGTAGTCCCAGGTACGCAGGAGCCTGAGGCAGAAAGATCACTTAAGCCCAGGTTGGACGTTGCTGGGAGCTAGGCTGACGCCGCTGCATTCTAGCCCGGGCGACAGGGCGAGACTCTGTCTTAAAAAAAAAAAAAAAGAAAAAGAAAGCAAACCTGGCATCTGACTCTAGACCCTACCCTCCTAAACCCAATGCCTGCCATGTAGCAGGTGTTTAGTAAATGTAAAGTGAATCTAAAGTAGCCTGAAGAGGCTTCTCACAGACTTAATTGGGGAAGATTTCTAATAGGCACCTCAAACTCAACATGTCCAAGATTGAATTCTTAGAATTCTATTATCCCCCTACTACCCCAAGCCTGCTTCTCATCTCAGCCTCCAGGGGCTCAGGCCAGAATCCTTGGTGCCCTCCATGCTTCCTGTGTTCCCCTCGCACCCCACATCCAATCAGTCAGCCTATTCTGCCAGCTGCACCTTCAGACATAGTCAAAATCTGATTACTTCTCACTAGCCTGACCACTGCACCTCTGGCACAAAGCCACCATCGGTTCTCTTGTCTAGATTATTGCAGTAGCCTCCTAACTAGTCTCCTTGCATGGAATACACTCATACCCTATAGTCTTTTCAACACAGTGGCCAGTAAAATCCTGATTAAAAACATAAGTCAGTCACCATTCTGTTTGTCTATGCCAGAAAGTAAGTTTTTTGAGGGGAACCTTATAGTCACTCTGCTCTAAACCCTCTAATAGCTCCCATTTTACTGAGTAAAAGCCTGTAGGGTCCTCCCATTGCCCTGTCCTCCCTTCCTCCTCACCTCTGTGCCTTATGTCTTGGGGTTTGCCCCTTTGCTTTCTTTCTCTTTGTCCCTTTCTTTCTCCCTTGGCCTCCTTGCTTTTCCTAGAGTACCAAGCATAGTCCGGATTCAAGACCCTTGTATTTTGTCTTCCCTCTGTCTCACATGCTTTCCCCCAGAAACCACATGGTTTGCTCCCTCACCTCCTTCAGATCTTAGTTTAGATGTCTCCTTGGTGAAGCCTTTCCTTGGCCCTAATTTAAAATTGCACAGTGCCCTCTTCAACCGCTGGCATCCCTTAATCCCTTCCCCTGCTCTATCATCCCTGTAACACTTACTTATTGCCTAGCATATTACATGCTCTGCTTATTTTTTGCTTCATTTCCACGTTAGAAGAGTGATGTGAGCATATAAAGACATGAAAGCATAATGTAAATAGGTTTTTTTGAACTTGATCTGTAGAACAGAGGCACAGATGCCTCTGTTTCCTCTTCTGTAAGATAGGGGGAATCTTGGCAGTAGAATTTACCCTATGGGTTTTCTTTTTCTTTTTTTTCTGAGACAGAATCTCGCCTTGTTGTCTAGGCCAGAGTGAGTGCCGGGCATCAGCCTAGCTCACAGCAACCTCACACTCCTGGGCTCAAGTGATCCTACTGCCTCAGCCTCCCGAGTAGCTGGGACTACAGGCATGAGCCACCATGCCTGGCTGATTTTTTCTATATATATTAGTTGGCCAATTAATTTCTTTGTGCTTTTTTTTTTTTTTTTTTTTTAGTAGAGACAGAGTCTTGCTCTTGCTCAGGCTGGTTTCTAAATCCTGACCTTGAGTGATCTGCCAGCCTCAGCCTCCCAGAGTGCTAGGATTACAGGCGTGAGCCACCCCGCCCGGCTCATGGGTTTTCTTTTAATGTAGAGATGGAGTCTTGCTATGTTGCCCAGGCTGGTCTCAAACTCCTAGCCTCCCATGGTGCTGAGATAATAGGTGGGAGCCACAATGCCTGGCCCTATGGGTTTGTTTTGAGGATTAAATAAAGATAATATATGTAAAACATTTAGAACAATGTCCAACATGTAAAACATTATATCTGTGTTAACTATTGTTATTATTTTCTTATTGTGTAGCAATGTGCTGGGTAATGGAATATAACGTTACCCTAAAAAAACTTACTCTCTAGCAGAGGAAAGCAGCATGGTGACTGCTTTCAAGTCTTGGTTGCTCAGTAACCACAATTTCAGCAATGACGAATGATGCCCAGTTGATGAATGATGTCCAGTGCCTCTGGTCTGAAATAGTTCCGAGCACTAATAGGATGTTCTGACTGCAAATGTAAAGCTTAGAGTTGAAGTTCAAAGATAGAGTTCCCACATCAATTGTAATTCAAGTGTCATGCATATCCCTTGGTTTTAAGGAACAAGTATAAATGGCTCATGAAGAAGTTGAAAATACTGCCTGGCTGCAATGGCTCTGAGTTACAGCTGCCCAGAGCCACACAACTCTGGGCTGTACACGATGATCACTGAAGAGCACAGGGCTTTTGGGGGCATGCTGTGTTGACTTAACTCCACTTTACATGGTGATGTTTTAGCTAGTTGATTTGTCTCAGAGTCTCTCAGATCCACTGGCAGTAAATTACCTCCTTCACTCTCAAGCTTGCAATGAAAAAGTGATTTACTACTAGCAAGTGAGCATTTTATTTCCAAAAGGGAGCATATTTTTCTCATCATGCTCCATTCATTTTTGAGGACTCACTTATCATTATAATTGTTCACGTTCCAAGCCTACGCCACAGGCAATCACACACAAACTCACTTGAGGCCGCAGTTTGCCCAGAATCAACAATATATTGGATCCTACTACTCTAAGCAATGTCTACCTTATCCGTGGTTCACTTGTTCAGCAAATATTAATTAAGCACCAACATGTGCCAAGCAGACATTTCCTTTTTTTTTTTTTTGAAACAGTCTTGCTCTGTCTGCCAAGCTGGAGTGCAGTAGTATCATCATAGCTCACTGTAACTTCAAACTCCTGGGCTCAAACGATCCTCTTGCCTCAGCCTCCTGAGCAGCTGGGACTATAGGCATGCACCACCATGCCTGGCTAATTTTTTAATTTTT